TTGCTTTGAGATTTAGTAAATATCTCTCAAACGAGAGATTCAGTGCGAGAAAATAGTTAAATTTGGAGAGAGAATTAAAGAGAAACCGTTTCATTCTCTATCTTCATGCATGCAACCAAATAAGTATCAAATTCAAGTTTTAAATCAGCATGAAAATTTGATCATTATGTTGCTAATAAATTCTAAACTTATCGCATACATTTGTCGCTTTGTTATTTAATGCACAATCAAATAACAAAACAACACATATATATCACGTGGGGCGATTACCGACAACCTTCACTATAGATAGCATTATTCATCGATCAAACTGGATTGGCAGAGTCGGCTCGATCAAGAAGCCATCTAATGGTTGCATAAGGCCCAAACTTGCGCAAAGCCTCAATTTTTTTTTTCTCTTTTTAATAATGAATAAATTTATTAAGAAAAAATAAAGAGAAAAAATTTAAAACAAAATCCAACCTAACTACCAATAAATACCTAGCCAGCCAGAGCCCAACAATCAAAATCAAGGACGTTTGTTCTTCCTCATTTTTTTTCTATTTATTTTGACTTCTATTCGTGAAAATCTCAGACCTTTAAAGGGTATATTCAATTGAGACTTTTAATGACTTTTTGGAATTTAAAAAGTCTAGAAATATTCAATTGAGACTTTTGAAACTTTCTAAAAGTCACAGTGTATTCAATGGAGACTTTTATAGACTTTTAAAAAGTTTCTAAAAGTTATGATGTATTCAATTAAAACTTTTTAGAAGTCTCTATAAGTTTTGGGGTATCCAAATTGTAATAACTTCAGAAAGTACTCATATAAAATTTTAAAATTTATCTCTCATTAATCTTAAGATTTTAGGAGACTTTCACAATTTTTTTTTTTTCCAATCTTTCTTTCCTTCCATGGATATGTATGATTAAAATTTATTTTTTTCTATTGATTACATTTATCTTTCTCTCTCTCTCTCTTATCATTTATCTCTATTTTCTATGAAAAAATTAAATTGGATTCTTGTAATTTTTTTTCTTTTTTCATTCATTTTTTTGTCAAAAATATCTATGTTTTTATTGAATCATAAAATTTTATATGAAAAATTTGTAATTAAATTTAAATATATTAATTTTTATTTTTTTTAAAAAGTATACTATATTAATAATATTGAATCATATATATGTATAATATTGATTATTATTTATTTAATAAGGTCTTAAATTTTTATTTTTTCAATTTTTTTTTATTGTATGGGAAGAAGAATGGGAAGGAAAAGGGAAATTGTAGGAAAATAACAACTATGTGAGAATTTCACACTAGATTCACGTGAATTCTATTTTAAACGAAAGTTTTCAAAAGTCTTTTGAATTCCATGAAAGTTTATAAAAATTTTAAAATAAAAATCCATAGAAGTCTATGAAAAGATTTCCACTAATTCCATACAAATCTATAAAAGATCCACGAAATCTACAAAAACCATCACTTAAAAAAAGTTCATCAAAGTTTTCAAAAGTTTCAATTGAATACACCTATTCATGAAAATCCTAGACTTTTAAATTTTAATTAAAGCAATAAACCTCTCATTTATAGTTTACAATTTGCAATCAAAGCATCAACAATGATTGAACAATATATCCTTTTTACGTTTTCCCTTTTTTCTTCCTATCACTTCCATTCTTATCGACTTCGATATTTTTATTTAATTAGTGAGGATTATAAGGTGAGTTTTTCTTGACCAGTTTTCGAATTTTTGTTGGGTTGTGATACTTTGTTTGCAGTTAATTTTGTTAGTTAAGAGTTTTAATTTGACGTGGAGATATGCATATTGATGTTGTCAAGGGTCAATTAAAAGTCTTCTTTCTTCTTCTTCTTTTTCAAAAATTAAAAAGATTTCTATATGCTATGATTTCTGCCAAAGATTTCAAATGAAATGGAAGCAAATCTCACATTTCATGAGTTGAGATTGTTGCCAAAATAATATCTATTTTGTACATCTTGGTTTACAATATCTTGATGATGATAAAAATAGTTTGATGAAATAACTTTGTTACTTGTACACTGATTTTTAACATTTTGGTTAACACTTACATTGTTGTAAAGTGTCAATTTGATGAAAAAATTGTTTGAAATTTAAACTGTCCAATAGGATAATGATACATGACAAAATGTAAACTATAGTGTACATGTAGCAAAGTTTTTGATGATGATAAAAATACAATATCTATTTTGTACATCTTGGCTTACAGATTAATTTAAAAGATGATGATGTGTATTATATTAACTAATTTTTAACTTACTTTTTTCTTTTACTGTATATCATTGTGTAAATCATGATGTACAAGTAGCATTACTCGTTGAAGGATCCTTTGATTATTTTACTTTCATGGTTGATCGAGTCTTTTTTTTTTTTTTTAATTTGAATTAGATTTCACCAATTGGAAATGTACAAATTTTATTTAATTTCAAGAAATTAAAATCATGCAAAGAAAATATTTTCAAAAGAAATGTTTTCAATCTTGAAAAAGTATTAAAATATGATGAACATTCTGACCAGAAGGTTTAAATCAATCCAGAATTAAGCGTATAAGAGAAATTTTTATCAAGACGAAAAGAAAATGTACGAAAGGAAAATTTTCATTATGTCATCAGAGTCGATTCTTTTCTGAATGCATATATTGCCTATAGAATATTGTTCCACTTTATGTGGCTTTTCCAGAAATGATTTTTCAAAATTGAAGTAGATAAAATTGTATTTGCGATCAACTATGTCACAAAAATTATTGAAATAATTAGTTATATATTGTATATTGAACATGCATTGTAATATAAACTTGACTAGTCAGATTTAATCCTTTTTTTTTTGTTTTAAGCAATGTAATCAATAATTGTCCATCTCAAAAGCATTATTCTATAAAGCTCGCCCAAGTTTCGACTAGGCTTGAAGTTTGACCTTACAGCCTAATCACGCTTACACTTTCTTATGGTAGACTTTATCTAAACTTTGTCTCATCTTGCTTAGACTCTTAAAACTTAAAAGAAACTTAAAATTTTAGTTGAGATTGTCGCCTAATCATACTTTATGCTATTTAGATCATTGCTCAAAAGGCAAGAAAAACAATTTTTACATAGAACTCAACATACTTCAATACAAGTTTATGAAAAGAAAATTTCCTCATTGTTGGTGAAGAAATGTTCAATTTAATGATGAAATATTCCTGTAGAAATGAGATATATACATATATATATATTTTAAAGAATACTCATGAAACCGCCCATTCAAATTTTTTCGCCTAAAACCACCAAGTTGCTTGGGCCGACTATATCGATTAGACTATCAATTTGGCTATAGCACTAGGTTCAAGATTTGTCGTCTCCTATGTATTATCCTCTTAAAAGTTCTCAAATAAAATTTTGTACTTATATGATTGAACAAAAAAGAGAAAGGACGATTTCATTTCAACTGACAGTCAAGAAAACTTTTGAATAAATGTGTAATTTTTTTTTTTTTAATCATTAAAAGAGATGAACTTTACTCATTCAATTGTCAAAATACTTTGAATGAGAAATTAATGGACTAATAAAATTATGCTAATCTCAAATCACTCAATCTTATCTAGCCATATTTGCATCCACAAAAGATTTAATGAAATGGATATGACAAAAATGACAATTTCAATAATAATGAGTAAATTCAAACCTTTAGTTTACAAGCATGTAAAAACTTTTTTGCTTTTCCAAATTGATAAGGAGAAACATCATTTTAATTTACAAGAAATTTACCAAATCAATGTTTGTCACTACCCCAAAATGGGTTTTTTACAATAACAAACACTATCATAATTAGTACAATAATCATCGCACTAATTGATGTTTCATATAGAAGAAGATTACTTGTTGACTGCCGTGAATTACGTAAAAATTATGAAATCCTAAATGAAAGACATATCTAGTTAGTGGTTAATTGGATAGCATCCATATCAATTCTAGGTATGTGGATCCATTTGGATCAATCAATTTTATTCATTACATTCATTGAATTAAGCACTTCTTGTGCATGATATATGAAAATTAAAGAACAAGAAAAGGATTATGATTTTAAAAGTGGAGACAAGTTACACCCCCTAGTAAAGACTGTTGCCATAAAGATATTGTCAATATCATGCTCTGTTTAATGGATATTTTTTGCTTCTTTTGTTAAGGCCAATGAGTGAAAAGGAGTTTATATGATTCCTCTTGTGACATGTAGAGGGTGACCAGCAATTTTACAAAGTAAAGTCCAAAAGCATAGCATGGGGATTTTAATTAAAGGGCCCTTAGTTGCAACAAATTTAAGTATATCCCACAATACTTTAATTACAAAATCATAGGTATTAGATTTGATTCGGATCCCGGTCGAAGTACCAAAATATTGGGTCATTGGTTGGACCGACAAGTCAGTGATCGAACAGGTGGCTTATTGCCTAAAAATTATTTTAAAAAAATAGAAATAAAAATTGAAGTATAAAACTTTTTGTTGAGACAAAATTAAAGTTTTTAAGCTATTTTTTAATAAAATTTTTATATCTTAATTTATTATTCTTGTGAACTCGTTTATTAGTGGTAATGGTTACATTTTGATTTTATAATTTTGAATATTATATTAATTTTTTTTATATTTATTCCAATCTGTGTTACGCTCAAACCATTTATTATGTATGGATAAAAAAATTATGTATATTAAATATTCAATACATCTTAATTAAAATTATTGTTTTCATACGTATCTTAAGTTTAAAACATAATTATTTGGTACTATAAAATGAAGATGTTGGACTGTAATTTTATACAATACTTTTAAGAACGCAGTAAATGATTTATGACTTAGATATAGCTTATTACACAAATGACTACAAATTGTTGTTGGTTCCAGTGTTGATGTGCCATTCTTGGTACATTGAGGTCCAAACATTGACACAAAAATTTCAAAGAAAAATTTTAAAACACGGTCTAGACGAGTCCATCGGTTCAACAAATTTATAAAAAGCTGCTAGTTGACCTGATTTTTGATTAGGTCATTGCATTCTGGTCACATGATTCGATCTAGTAAAGGGCTCGGTCGACAAGTTTCTGGCCCGTCCAAGCGGATCAAGATAGGCTTAATAGCACTGTACAAACTACGAATTGATATCTAATAATATTGTATTAGCTTTCTATCGTAATATAGAATATTTTAAGAAATAATTAATAATATTATATGGATCTTTAGTATATATGTCCCAAAATATTGACAAGTTCATGATTGTAGTCTAAAGCAAGATTTAATCATGTAAAATTACTAAAAAAATAGTGTTGTTTCACGATATTGTTATCGAGATATTGAGAGATCGAGTCTAAAGCACAACAGAATGATAACATCATTCAAAAAGCGACTTGTGCAATGAACGATGAATTCATTATTTTATTCGCAAGATTGAGAAAACTACACAACTTCGTTCGTCAAAGTTTATATTCATTTCTTAGGTCCTAAGCTGAACTCTACCAGGTTCCAAACATGACACTTCAGAATCCAATGACCTATTCTTTGTTGAAAACAAGATAAAAGAAAGAAATTGAGGTATTAAACAATAATTAGAAAGAGAAAACATCATAAATTCTAGTCAATTATTTCATAATTGGTTTACTTAAGTGGATACACGAAAATATGCATTGAACAAGCCTAAAAATATCACATCATTTTCACTTTTCTTAATAAATTAACTTGCACCAACATAACATAACTTTCAGAGGATGCTCCTTTATCCATTTACCGACGTCGTTCTGGGGTCCAGTGGGGCAATGAGGGGCTAAAGTGTACCGAGATGACTCGTGAGTCAAGGAGTTCCATGACTGGTGTAAAGGTAACGCACCTTGGTACCTTGTATTGATTTATGGAAGCACCTCTCGATATAGCATAATCCATCAACTCTTCAAATGTACCGCTTTTTACCACTCGTATCTCTAGTGGACCGATTGAGTTGTCGGCAACTCGACATTGTCGGTACACCGAGTTCAATGACTCTTCCATAACTAAACAACACTGGCTCAGCACCTTCTCATTAGGGAAGTTGGTGGGGTCCTTCACTAGTAACTCCCAATACATTACGTAATGACCAGGAATTGTATTAGTGTCAGCATAACTTGTGTACTCCACCACACTGGTATTAAATTCTTGTAAAATTTGAGATGCATTCTCAACCGCTTTCTGTAGTTCAGCTTCATCGGTTTTGTCCGAGTCAATGCTTAACAAAACATTCTTTCTCCTCACGAAGTGAAATTGTGGTGCTGAATTATAGAATCCAGTGACTCGGAGAATGTCACCGACTCGGTATCGACACAATCCAGAGTAAGTTGTGATCACGAGTTCATATTCTTTGCCAATTTCCACGTCAGCGAGGTCAACGAGTTTACGAGCATGTTTAGACGAGTTAGGACCGTGGGGCAAGAACTCGAAATAGGCCATGTTAGGCATGATGGTATATGAAACTTGAGATGGCTTGGACATTGGTGTAAGATTGAGCCCAAAGTAACATTCTGAAGAAGCATACATGGTACATGCTAAGGGCAGTCCACCACTATAGTAATCAAGAGTTGGAATATATTGTGCCATTGCACCTGTAACAATAACATCAAGATATTTTGTGTTAGGCCAAATTGTAGTGATAATCCCTTTCCAATTTTCCTTTGCACACTCCTTGGCAATGAAATCTGCCAAGTCGGGGTCCGGTCTAAGAACCTGGGCCATGCATTCCTGAATTGCGGGGTCGGTCACTTTCGTGTTGAGTGAACCGGTCCGTATGTCGTGAGTGAGTTGTGGCCAATTGAGTTGGAGGAACCGAATTGCTCGGAGGAGGCCGGAGGCGAACACAGCCCCAACCCGAAGGACTTGTTCGCTTTCGTAGAGACCGCATAACATTTGAGTATACATGCTCTGGAATGAGTCGGCACAAAGAATTGCTTCATTCGGACTTGTGTAAACATTGAACGGATCGTAGGGACGGGTCTTGAAATGCTCACTTTTGTAGTAGCTTGTTAAAACGGGCCGTGCCAGAAGTCCACCCGGAGTTTTTGTCTCTGACTTCACAAACAAAAAGTACAGTCCTTTCCCTTTATCTAATCCCTTCACGTAACTGTTGCACACGCAAAACATGCCATATAAGAAAAGACTCATTTAAATGGAAAAAAAAAAAAAGGGAATTCCCCAAGAAAAAACAACTTTAACGACACGTACTGGACTTCATGGAACCGCAAACAAAATCTTAAACTATAATATCAATTGTACTACGTTGCCCTCGGAGATTTTGCCAGATTTACGCTTGACAGTATCTTGTTGACAGATGCACGAAAAAGCAATTTCAACACATTCAATCACCTGCTGCTATCTTAGCCATGGTAAACTATTGGCAAAATCCCCTATACAAGGGACTAATTAATTATTATATATATATATATATATGACGGAGAAGTCGCAGCCGTTACCCTTTGCGTACTGAGTAAACCATCCAATACTATGCAGTTGACCCTGTTAGTTAGTAATAACAAATAGCTACTTACAGGTTCATTACGGGCATGAGAAGACTGTAAAGAAGCTGACGGCGATCCAATTCTTCTTTGATTGTGGGCATGAGTTTTCTTTCTCCAGCTGAAGTTCCAGAGCTGTAATTAAACAAATAAAAATCCCATTTCATCATCCTTTTACAAATTACAAAAAAATAATATAATATGCATAAAAACTGGGATGAGCCTGATTAATCACCTGGTTAGAAATTCAGAAATGGGGTGAGCAGATAAAATTGGAGAACGATCACCATTAGCGATTCTTTGAATCAACGGCTGAAGATCTTCATATGTAATCATTGGGATTACAGATTTGAAAGTATCACGGTCCGTAATTCCGTCAAGATTGAAACGCTTAAGATATTCAGTCTGAGCATTTTGGTTGAGAATTTCAGCCAAAACATTCTGTTGAACTGCATCGGCATTTTGAGTCATCTCTTCAATGAACTGAAGTGCCTTTGCATCTTTCTCACATGCCGGAGGACCCAAAGGCGATGAAAATATTGAATCGAAAGCCATTCTAGAGAGAGGAAGAAAACTTTTAGAGAGAGAGTGTAAGGAGTTTTGAGAAGAAGGTGGTAAGAAGTGCACTTGGAGGGAATGAAGAGGATTGACCATTTATATAGAAGAAGTGAGGGCATTATTAAAATACCACAAAAATTTATTTAAGTTTTAAATTACATCTTTTTAGTTCTCGTTTGTCTTTTATTAAATCAAAATTTTTTCTCAAAAATATATTTTCAATCATACATTCACGTTCACATAATAAAATGGTTTTACACGCAAACTTAAAACGTTTTTCAATTTTTTAACCAATCATTTTAGAAAAAAAAAAAATTACTATTTTAAGAAGACAAACAAATATTTTAAGTACATCCCGAGTTTATGTCATGGTGCGGTCCACATGTGGCAAAGACAAAAAGGAAAATTGTATTAAACTAAGGGAGTGCGTGGGACATTTTTGAATAATAAATTGGTGTCTGGTCAAAGGGGGGCAAGGGTTACCAAACACGTCTACTTGGCCGCGTTATAGGGGACACGTAGCCCACACAATTACACGTCAGCACATAAGTCTGTGTTAGGTAGCATGGACTATAGTGTGCGTCAGCCTACCACGGAGCTGGTTTCTGGCAGAATTGCCGGTCATGATTACGACTTTCATCGGCCGGCGCGGCAACTTCTGCTACACGGCACTACTTAGTCATGGTACATGACATAAGAGTACAACGTAATATGTTTTCCTTTGGTACGGTGTTGACTTGTACCTGCTAAGCCATTTTGATTCTCATTTTTAAAATAAAATGCATTATAAATTAATAATTTTTTAGAGAATGTGTAATTAAAAGTGAAGAAATTTTTTCAAATATGTGTACAATTATTTTATAAAAGATTGTGTGGTTATAAATGAATTTCGAAAAAATGTATTCTAGAAAAAATAGGGCTCAAACAATGGCTAAGTTT